AATAATGAAAGAAGTTTTTCTGTGAAAAATATTAACAGTGATAAGCAAAATGCCAGATGGTAGAAATGACATAAATTTTTATTGATCAAATTTTGTTACCTTACTTTTTATTTATTTTATTGCTTCCCGAGCGTAAGCTAAGGAATAAATTTTAGTAATCGAGTCCATCGGCTGAATTGCCACTTTCATCTTTTCTCGACGTGTTATGACCTCTAGAGTATGAAAAATGTGGTCTCCCATTTCCGCCTGTCTGCCTGTCTGTCTGTCTGTCTGTCTGGTGTCTGTACCCATTTTTATTAGACAAATAACCTCCGAACCTACTGGACCGATTGTTGTCACATTTTTTACTATTCGTATGGCCAGTATACAGCTTATAATGTGATGGCAGGTAGTAATTATTATTATTATTTATTTATTTTTTGACAGATGTCGTCGTATTTGTTATATTTAATACGTTATGTGTGAACTCTATTCCGTTGTTAAAAACTCGTAGCACCTCTGCCGTCGAGCGTTCCTGCGCTCAGCCGCGGGCGGCGCCGGGGGCGGCGGAATATTCTCCCCGCCACTGGACCGCTCTAATCTGTTTCGATGATTTATCGCCCGCAAATTGGACGGGCTCGGTGCAGAGATGCATTTTTCAAAACGTTCTTTATTAGGACGCCCATCGATCCTCCCCTAAATCAACGTTACGACCAGGTAAGACCACTTCGCAGTCGTTGGCCAATTTGTGTTCGTTTACATTTTGCGAGAAGATTGGTCGCTACGGAGCTCATCAATCAAGCAACGGAGGTGAGGCCGACATGATGGGTTATGCTCGCTACGAATATTAATGAGCCTGCAATATAGACGAAACCTTTCATAATCATAACACAGTCTGACTTCGCATCCACTCGTAATCAAAACAAATCACGGCTTCCGAAGACTAAACGATATGAGTCCCCGGCGCGGAATACTAAGAGAAGCCAGGATAACACCGAACCCACCGGCCCAGAGACATCTTATTAAATGCCGTAATTAGCAAACTCATTAATAAGTGCGACTGCCGCTCTCCTATTAAATTAATTAAAACCCACGAGATGCCCTAAATCACAGACACTATAAAATCGCTCTTCTTACTACCCACCTTGCCCTCCAAATCTGAACCGCCAGCAAAAAACATCTCACGTACATGAACGAACGATGTTACGAGCCACGCAAATTAATAATGAACTAAGTTCCACTTGGGATTACTCCAGGATTCTATCAAATTTACGCGTCCATTAGAATATGATTCAGAGTGGGAAAATGGGAAAAACCTCTCCGTGTGTATACGAGATTTGTGCTCCTTCGAAATTGCTTTATAGTTCGGGCTTTACTTAACTCAATATTATAGATCAAAACAAGGGAAAGAAAAAGTAGACAAAGTTGCGCTTCACGATTCTCTTGCCGATTACTTCCATGATTGTGACTGCTCCTTCGATCCGGATGACCACTTTTTGTTTCTCAAAATTTTCACTCTGCTTTATTTGGATCGTGAGTACACTCTCTGTCGTCTCGCATAATTATACTCATTTTCTGGAATCACGTTTTGCGTCTTGTCCTCGAGCGTTTTCAAGTTTTCAGCTTTTTACAGTGGTGATGTTGTTTGTAAAACTTTGTCGTTACAGTTTTCATCGATAAATGTTATCCGCTATATTTCGTAAGAATTCTCGTCGGACATTTATTGTAATGGATGTATTTTCCTTCATATACATAGTCGATTTATTAAGGGTAGTCATAGTCTCAATTAAAGAAAGTCTTTCAGTGGTTGTGAAATATGGGGACTATCTAATGGAAGCTGCTGGCCATTTTCCAACCTCCCTCGTTACTAAGATTTTTTTCCACTAATTTTTTAACCGCTTCTATTGTAGTCGTCCTGCCATAAATCAGCGAGAATCTACAGAAATGCGTGCTTTTGTAGTAAATTTAAATCTGACATCTCTTTAATAAGCGTATATTTTTCAGTTATTACATACTGCTCCTAAATTTCATTACTATTTTTTAGCTGCTGCATATTCTACTCTCACTCCCCCCTGTCACAGTTAAGAACAACGAAAAGTTCCTGGAATCTCAACTATGTTCTAAGTCAAGTATCCTAAAAAATTTTTCTTTATCCTATGGTTGTTGTCAAAAATCTAAAGTAGCGTCTGGATTGATCTTTAAATCCTCGACTTTTCGTGTTCTCTACATTATCCTTGGGGTTTTCTGGCAAGACTTTGAGGGCTTCGTCTAAGGAGTAAATAACTTTCATAACAAATCCGTTGAAAACTTTTTCTTTGCTTGTTCTATACAATCTGGTATCCACTCTTTTACTGTTTATAGCCGGTTTCTTGTTTAGGTGGTGGAAAAAAGCGCGTTTCACGAAGTTTTTTTTAAATAATTTTGTGATCAAAAAAACCTTAGTTAATTGATTTTCTTCTTGCTTAATTATATCAACTATCGATTTGTTTAAATGTGACATATCAAAGATAATAATACTAAAATGGTCCAAACAGTATTATCTATCACCTCTGCTGTGGTTTAATTTTGTCAATTTTTTATCCAAATCCATAAACACCACCAGAATTTTTCACACTCTTTTCCTGTGATTTTTTGTTCTAGCTGGGTAGACACAATTATGTTTAAACGATTGCAGGATCGAGTCTTTTGATATAGCTCTATTTCCGAATTTATTCTAAAAGAAAGCTCTGTAAAACTCCTCGCTCCCGAACCCAAGGACGATTGGGTACTTTCATGTTTTCTCGACGTTTTATAACCCCAAGTTAACGAAAAAATAGCTCCCTGTTCCCCTCTGTCTGCCTGTCGTCTGTCTGTCTGTCGTCTGTCTCGATTTTTATTAGACAGATCTCCGAAACTACTGGATCGATTATTATCCGATTTTGTAAATGTATTATTATGAGTATCATCTAGATGGTAAAATTCCTGTTCGTGCCTTATGAATACGACATTTTTGCTTAAACGAAAGTCACTAACAAATTTTAGAATTTTTCAAAACGGGATTTTTTGGACTACACTTCCGGGGCGAGGAAAGATCGATTAATTTTCTTGTCTTTTCTTTCCTAAAGAAATCGTTTACGAATTTTCACAACTGAGACTGTTTAAGGAAGGAAAACGTCTTCCGGTCATTAACTTTAGAAAGAGGAAAAGACTACTGGTTTGAAGGACAAGGATTAGTTCGAAAAAATCTTCATTATCGGAAAATTGATCTCAGAGATTGAACTCAGTATATTATTCAGTTTAAGATTTGATTCAGATCGAATAAAATCAATCACTGAAAAGGAGACAGGGTGGATGGGCGGGGCTAATTATGTTCTTCTGTCGAGTGGGAATGGAAACTAAAATAGAATCTAATCTAATCGTAAAATTTATTTCTTATTTCATGCACCTGACCTGACTTGACCTAACGTAATAATTTCTTTTTTTTTAGCTACAAAACATTTACACCGAGCTATTTTGAAGGAACTGTAAAAACTACTATATTTCAATTAGCGATTCTGGAAAAACGGTAGAAATTTCCAAAGAAATAAAGCCAAAAATGACTTCTGGATATCGAAATCTACAAATCTTCAATAAATTTTCGGATATTGTTGAAGAATGGTCGAAAATGTCAAAAGTGCCAAAATCAGTCTTATCTTATCAAATACTAGCCCCGCCCACCCACCCTCCATTTTCTTAGAGGGTATGTCATATAAAAATTTTATATCAAGTTATTTTGACGAAACTGCAAAAAACTGCTATACATCAGCTAGCGATTCTGGAAAAATGGTAGGAATTTCCGAGGAAATGAAGCCGAAAATGACTTCTGGATATCGAAAGTTGCAAAAAAATAACTTCAATAAATTTTCGGATATAGTTGAAAAATGGTCGCAAATGTCAAAAATGCCAAAATCAGACTTAATTTATCAAATACTAGCCCCGCCCACCCACCCTCTATTTTCTTAGAAGGTGTCATACAAAAATTTTATACCGAGCTATTTTGACGAGACTGTAAAAACTGCTTTATTTCAATTAGCGATTTTGGAAAAACGGTGGGAATTTCCGAAGAAATGAAGCCGAAAATGACTTCTGGATACCGAAATCTACAAGAAAATGTCTTCAATAAATTTTCGGATTTTGTTGAAGAATGGTCGAAAATATAAAAAATTGGCAAAAATTTTATATAGAACTATTTTGACGAAACTAAAATCTGTTGTATTTCAATTAGCGATTTTGAAAAAACGCTAGAAATTTCCGAAGAAATGAAGCCGAAAATGACTTCTGGATATTAAATCTACAAGAAAATGTTTTCAATAAATTTTCGGGTATTGTTGAAGAATGGTCGAAAATGTCAAAAGTGCCAAAATCAGACTTATTTTATCAAATACTAGCCCCGCCCACCCACCCTCCATTTTCTTAGAGGGTATGTCATATAATAATTTTATACCGAGCTATTTTGACGAAACTGTATAAACTGCTATATTTCAGTTAGCGATTTCCGAAAAATGGTAGGAATTTCCGAGGAAATGAAGCCGAAAATGACTTCAAGATATCGAAATCAAGAAGAAAATGTTTTCAATTAATTTTCGGATATAGTTGAAAAATGGTCGAAAATGTCAAAGGTGCCAAAATCAGTCTTATCGTATCAAATACTAACCCCCCCCACACACCCTCTATTTTCTTAGAGGGTATGTCATACAAAAATTTTATATCGAACTATTTTGACGAAACTAAAATCTGTTGTATTTCAATTAGCGATTTTGGTAAAACGCTAGAAATTTCCGAAGAAATGAAGCTGAGAATGACTTCTGGATATCGATAACTACAAGAAAATGTATTCAATAAATTTTCGGATATTGTTGAAGAATTGTCGAAAATGTCAAAATTGCCAAAAACAGTCTTATCTTATCAAATACTAGCCCCGCCCACCCACCCACTATTTTCTTCGGAAGTATGTCATATAAAAATTTTATATCGAACTATTGTTACGAATTGAAAATTCGCAGTAGCTATTTCGGTTTTTATTGGCATTCTTGGATCGGATTACATTTTGTTTACTCGTTTTTTTTTCGTTTCGTCATTTCGTGCATGGGTGGTTGGGTTGGGCACGGTGGCAATGAAGGACAACTTTGGTGGAGGGTTCGTCCCGAGCTTTTGACTCCCCCAGTCGCAAGACTGTCGCGATGATTCTGAGCTTGGAGGGGCTCAGATGAGTGTTTCAGCCTCGCTGTTTGTAGATCGGTCTTCTGGATCGTTTCAGCTTGGTTCTTGCTATAAGGAACTGGATGGATCGCGCCATCCCAGAGCTTCACTCTGAAATTCGATTTTCGTTCTGTTTGTTATTTTTGTTCGCGAATTTCATTTGCTTACCTAGGTGGGAACAAACGCCGTGGAGCGTCCCCTAGAGTCTTCGTCATTTCTGGAATCTTGATAGCCTTGTTTGTTTTTTTTTCTTTTGTAATAACCATCGCATCCACTTAATAGTTACATCGATTAGGGATTTTCGTCGGAATTCAACGTTTCGTAAGTTTGCCACTAGAGGGCCAAACTTCCGTTAATTCTCGCTTCGTTACCTTGCCACGTCATCGCAGGTGGAAGGGAATCCATTTTGCTTTGGTACTTCGTGTTGAATGGTGTTGGGGGTTAGTGCTTTCCTCTTTTGCAGTTCGTTTTAGCAACCTTTTATTTGGTGTTACGTTTGGAATCGCATTCGTTGGATCTGTTGGGTCCCCTAAAAGGTGCTATCGCTTGGAGCGCATTTGTGAGCTGTAAAAGATATAGTGCATTCGAGCACTACGACTTTGTCGGATTTTGGGTTAAGGGCACTAGACCATCCCGCTAACATCGGAGAAGCTGCAGTCGATCCGCAGGTAAATCTTTTGATTAGCTTTTCCCTGGCATCCCTTCGAACAGTGGTTATGGTTATTTTCATGTTAACGATAATATTTTGCTACTTACCAAGTGCATGTGACATGTGGAACCCTTGGGGTTGACTGAGTTCGAACATCTTCTCAGACTTTGCTCTCCTTGCAGTTTTTTTGTTTTGTCGCTGATCTTGCTATTCCCGTGATCGAAAATTGGAGCCAGTTTCGAGTGGGAGAACGAATTCTATGAATTCCAACTGTCGTGGGCAGTTGTGAGCCCTCCCAGAACAGCTGGAGAATCACCAAAAACCTCGACTCGACATCGACTGGAACTTCGCTGCGACGCCGCTGTGTTTCGACATCTCGTCGTGGATATCGAAGGAGGCAGGTGCCCATGGTACTTCCATTCCATCGCATTAAGATTAAGTATTAGTCGCCTTACCTTTTCTTTATTGTATCGCAACACGTTTCGAAGTTCGGCGTAACTAGCACTCGCACATAACCTAGTAATAACAATCGGTAAGAGTGTGACGCTTCGCTCTACGTTAATACCCTCGTACGTACGTTAGGACTACCGAGCGTGTGGCCTACTTCGTTTATCTCATAGCCCTCGAAATAATTAATCAAATCGTTATTCGTTACGACCCCAACTAACTTGTTCGTTTCGTAAACATCGTTCGTATCGCTCGTATTTATCGTTAATTAGTTCATCGCCTTTCGTAATTAAACTATCGTTCGTATTGCTCGTATTCATCGTAAACCGTTAGTCGCATTAAATCGTTATCATTAATATCTTACTCATTTCCTTTTGCTTACTTATTTAGTTATTTATCACTCTTATTTTATTTTTAATTAGTGACCTTAGGTTTTCTTGTAACCAATAATTTAAGTAACAGCTTGCAATTACAATAGTTAAATATTTTTCCGGTTTTTTGTTGTTGTAATTGTGTCTTAATAAAAACTGGTGGCGCCCTGGCGACGTCGCTACACAAAACAGTGTGCTCTCTCTTCTTTGCGAACCTCTAGCGACCTGACCTTTGCACCCGCAGGAACTCACCCCTTCTCCACTAGCAGGCCGGCAACGAGCTGTGAGTTTGGCTCGTAACACTATTTTGACGAAATTAAAATCTGTTGTATTTCAGTTATCGATTTTCGAAAAACGCTAGAAATTTCCGAAGAAATAAAGCCGAAAATGACTTCTGGATATCGAAATCTGCAAGAAAATGTCTTCAATAAATTTTCGGATATTGTTGAAAAATAGTCGAAAATGTCAAAAGAGCCCAAAAACAGTCTTATCTTATCAAATACTAGCCCCGCCCACCCACCCTCCATTTTCTTCGAGGGTATGTCATAAAAATTTTATACCGAGCTATTTTGACGAAACTAAAATCTGTTGTATTTCAATTAGCGATTTTGGAAAAACGCTAGAAATTTCCGAAGAAATGAAGCCGAAAATGACTTCTGGATAACAAAATCTGCAAGAAAATGTTTTCAATAAATTTTCGGATATTGTTGAAGAATGGTCGAAAATGTCAAAAGTGCCAAAATCAGTCTTATTTGATCAAACACTAGCCCCGCCCACCCACCCTAGATTTCCTTAGAGGGTATGTCATTTAAAAATTTTATACCGAGCTATTTTGACGAAACTGTAAAAACTGCTATATTTCAGTTAGCGATGTTGGAAAAATGGTAGGAATTTGCGAGGAAATGAAGCAAAAAATGACCCCTGGATATCGAAATCAAGAAGAAAATGTCTTCAATAAATTTTCGGATATTGTTGAAGAATGGTCGAATATGTCAAAAGTGCGAAAATCAGTCTTATCTTATTAAATACTAGCCCGCCCACCCACCCTCCACTTTCTTAGAGGGTATGTCTATGAAAATTTTATACCGAGTTATTTTGACGAAACTGTAAAAACTGATATATTTCAGTTAGCGATGTTGGAAAAATTGTAGGAATTTGCGAGGAAATGAAGCAAAAAATGACCCCTGGATATCAAAATCAAGAAGAAAATGTATTCAATAAATTTTCGGATATTGTTGAAAAATGGTCGAAAATGTCAAAAGTTCCAAAATCAGTCTGGTCTTATCAAATACTAGCCCCGCCCACCCACCCTCTATTTTCTTCGAGGGTATGTCATACAAAAATTTCATATCGAACTATTTTGACGAATCTAAAATCTGTTTGTTTTAATTAGCGATTTTGTAAAAACGCTAGAAATTTCGGAAGAAATGAAGCTGAGAATGACTTCTGGATATCGATAACTACAAGAAAATGCATTCAATAAATTTTCGGACATTGTTGAAGAATTGTCGAAAATGTCAAAATTGCCAAAAACAGTCTTATCTTATCAAATACTAGCCCCGTCCACCCACCCACAATTTTCTTCGGAAGTATGTCATATAAAAATTTTATATCGAACTATTTTGACGAAATTAAAATCTGTTGTATTTCAGTTATCGATTTTCCAAAAACGCTAGAAATTTCCGAAGAAATAAAGCCGAAAATGACTTCTGGATATCGAAATCTGCAAGAAAATGTCTTCAATAAATTTTCGGATATTGTTGAAAAATGGTCGAAAATGTCAAAAGTGCCCAAAAACAGTCTTATCTTATCAAATACTAGCCCCGCCCACCCACCCTCCATTTTCTTAGAGGGTATGTCATATAAAAACTGTATACCGAGCTATTTTGACGAAACTGTAAAAACTGCTATATTTCAGTTTGCTATATTGGAAAAATGGTAGCAATTTCCAAAGAAATGAAGCCGAAAATGACTTGTGGATATCGAATTCTACAAGAAAATGTCGTCAATAAATTTTCGGATATTGTTGAAGAATGGTCGAAAATGTCAAAAGTGCCAAAATCAGTCTTATCTCATCAAACACTAGCCCCGCTTCCATTTTCTTAGAGGGTATATGTCATATAAAAATTTTATACCGAGCTATTTTGACGAAACTGTAAAAACTGCTATATTTCAGTTAGCGATTTTGGAAAAATGGTAGGAATTTCCGAGGAAATGAAGCCGAAAATAACTCCTGGATATCGAAATCAAGAAGAAAATGTCTTCAACTAATTTTCGGATATATGTAGTTGAAAAACGGTCGAAAATGTCAAAAGTGCCAAAATCACTCTTATCTTATCAAATACTAACCCCGCCCACCCACCATCTATTTTCTTCGAGGGTATGTCATACAAAAATTTTATGTCGAACTATTCTAACGAAACTAAAATCTGTTGTATTTCAATTAGCGATTTTGGGAAAGGCTAGGAATTTTCGTAGAAACCAAGCAGAAAATGACTTCTGGATATCGAAATTAAGAAGAAAATGTCTTCAACTAATTTTCGGATATGGTTGAAAAATGGTTGAAAATCTCAAAAGTGCCAAAATCAGTCTTGTCTTATCAAGTACTAGCCCCGCCCACCCGCCCTCTATTGTCTTGGAACGTATGTGATTTGCCAAAATCAGTCTTATCTTAGCAAATACTAGATCCTGGAATACAACGCAACAAATCTGGCTATTCTAAAATTTTAATTTATGAATTTTAGTTTCTTTATGACAACCCTATAAGTTAAAATGAAATATGTAGCTTAAAATTCAATACGGATCCATGAATCACATGCAGGAGGATGTTATTTTACAAAATGTGAATATCATTTACTATGCAGAACTATACTTTCGCGGCGGAAGAAATTCTGTCTAAATAACTTGAGACAAATATTTTGAGGCATTTGTTATACTTTTAAGGGTCCGTTTTAATGGCCATTTTTATTTTTGAGAGCTAAAACTCGCTCTGTAATTATTACATTTTTGGTGGAAATGGTTACACAAAAAAAAATGAATACAGACGCAAACGGTAGACGCAGACAGACGACAGATAGACGGAAATGAACCCTGTTTTTCATGTATCAACTTGATTACCAAAATTTTCTGTTTGAACTCTACCTTTCAAATCTGATAGTACAAAAGTAACGAGCGCAGGCTCAAATCCTGCACCTGGCACTGTGTTTCATCTTTTTTTCAAAAAAGCACTCCGAGGTGACCGTCAAAATAACAAAAACACAACCGAGATTCGAACACCGGTTCTAGTTGAAATTAAAACATTAAAACACCTGCTTCCAAAGTTTTCTAGCAATTTACAAAAAAGAAACTCACAATTCACCACTAGAATTGAGAAAAAAATTACTGCCCGCTTTGATGTACTATGTACTTTAGAAAATTATGGATATAAGAACAGCAATTTTAAATTCAACGGGCAATTTTTTCAGTACCCTTATTTCTGGGTAGCTGAACATTTCAAGGGGTGACTTAAAAAGATTTGTGGAAAAAATCCGAAAATGTTTCAAAATTATGACCCAGACAAGCAGATGATATTTTGCCAATTTCAATTGTAATATTTAAGCATTCTAAAACACTTCAAAAAAGTGGACGTGTATTATTTTCTCATTGTAAGTCCGAAAACGGGAAATCATTTAAAATGTAACTAGAAATTTTTCCGGTGTGGTTTTTCTAATTTACAAAACTACTTCGCAAATCAAAAGGATACGCTAGGACCAACAAAAAAAAGTCAAAAATATTTTAAATTACTGAAAAGTATATTAGTCTAATCATGATGGTGCTAACGCCACAGGTGAAACCCTGACATTTTCCCTTCATTCCCTTTTCATCAGAACACCACCTCGCTCAATAATAATCAATTAAATAAAAACAAATGTTTTGTTACAAAATATAAAGCGAAGGTTATTTACAAGAACCGAGAAATCCACTTCCTGTTTTTCGTTCCGTCCAAGCCAAACAAATTTTCTTGTCAACAAAACCTTAATTTAAATAGTGTTTAGTGATCCCTATCTGCAATAACAAAATTTCCCCCGACGTTTAAAAAGCGAATCGAAAACACAGCTAAGGTGAAAACTTTCGCATTACACGCTGTGATACTTTTAACCCTGTGCATCCCCGACCTGAATTATAAAACTTGGACGTAAAATGACAGGGGACCGCAGTGTGACCCTGTGTTGACACAATAATATAAAATTCAACACGTACTGGATGCGTAATGAAAAACACGGTTTCGCTATATCTATGCTACAGCAATTTTTTTAAGATTCGGTATAACGATTCGATTCAGTGGTGTAAAATATACGTTAGAATTTAGGGCTAGTGTAAGGGCACCCGGTCGCTCTTACATCAAATTCGACCCTTCTTTTGATGACGTCACGCCGGCCATCACGAAGGTTTTGCGTGTGTTTAAATGATACTGAAGGTAAATGGCCGGAAGATGCTTGCTTGTTTCCTTTAACACATTTTTAAATGAAACCATCACTCCTTCAAATCGATAAACTAGTATTTATGGTACACTACCACTTTCAACTCTCACTGATACATTTTTCAACCAGCTGATATCTTGTTGTGCCACTAGAGTTTTCAATGCCTAGAGGTTCGTTATTTCAAAATTAATCGTTCATTAACGACTGCAGGAGAAACTCCGTCTAATTTATTAAAGCCGTTCATTACGACACAAGTGCTAAAAACAACAACTTATTTTGTGAGCACGAAAGTTTCTGAAACGAGATTTTACATTATTACTTTTACTATTTTTCAAGACAGTCTCCAAAGTTACAAAATGATAATAATTTATAAAGCAGAGCGAACGTTCAATTTTAGGACAGACCCGATCTTGCACTCGACACTGGCCTACAAAAAGAGGAGTGGGGGAAGCCGCAGGTACGTTTCAATTCACATCGACATATTGTGGAGGGAAAAATATTTGCTCAACGAAAAAGCATACCTACATCAAAAAAATATATATTAAAAAAAACATTAAACAAAACATTATACAAACAAATATTTTGTGTAACAAACAAAAAAATGATTAAATAAACA